AGACACTGGTAAAAATTGTCTACTCTGTGCAGAGAAGAGGTGCTAGTGAATGCTTGTCTTCAAATATTTAAAAAACAAATATTTTCTATGTTTTAATTTCTTCCAAAGTGAGTGATGGGAAGGTCTGTACAGTTTGAAACTTGAGTGGAAAATGTGCAAGGTATAAACGTGGTAGGAAAGGTAAAACCAGTATTTACAGCTAAGAATACAAACACTGGTTGGTCAGGTCACTTAGCAGTGCTGGGGCTTTGGTTTTAATTGTGGCTTTAATGGGGAAGATGCTTAAATATATTGATAATTGACTCTGAATGAAAGTTAGAAGCACGTGGAAAATTCTCCAGTGTCATTAAAATTATGACAAATATTGCAATGTACATTTGCCACAGTGCTGCCAGTTCCTGGGCCTGGTTTTCAGTTGTGATGGGAGCTGCTCTCTTCTCCAGGTCCTTGTGCCACGGAACCAGAACCACTTTTTGCAAGGTGCAAAAAGTCAATTTTAAGGTAGACAGCAGCTGAGAAGAGATTTGGGGCAGACAGCCCACTTAGCCCAGTCTGGGGCTGCCCTTGCTCAAGGCTGCCAGGTCTGGTCTTTAATTTATGGGATTGAAAACAATTCTTCATCTTTTATTTATACTTTTTTCCCCATTAACTGTATTTCCTGTTTGCTGTAAGAAGGAGGGATGGGATTAGGCTGCAGGAATTTATTTTGTTTCCTTCTTCAGCTCTGCTGGAGATTATTTAGGCATCCACAAATTCATCATCCTGGTGGGTAACTAGCAGTGGCTTCCTGAGAAGAGCTGAGACCTTGGATGATTTTTGGAGCATGTTGAAGCATTTTAATGCAATAAATTAATAATGTTGGTTGCTAACAAAATATCCTGTTGCCATCACTAATAGATTTTGATGGGAGCTCTGGGACAATCCGTTTACATCCTGAAAAGTCATTATTTTTCACTGTGGGGTTGTTCCTCAGCCTTGCTCGGAAATATTTCTTTAGGATGGAGATGTTTAATGTGCAGTTTTTTGGGTTTGCCCCAAGATAAACACGATTTTTGTGGAACCCATCCGTTATCAATCAATCTTAGGCTGGAGATTCTTCAGCCAACAAAAAATCAACAGCAGTTTTGCTCTCTTGGAAAGAGTTGTGATTTTTTTGAAGTGGTTACATTTTGAGGGTGATAAGAAAAGCCACAGCCTCCATCCAAGGGCTGCATTCCTGGGAAATGTCTTTTCCTCGACAGAGAGAGCCTGGGAAGTTCTCTGGGAGGAGGCTGCCAATAATGTCAGCAAAGAGCTCCAGCAGAGGGGATGAGCCCGTGCAGAGCTCCAGGTTTGGCTGCTTTGGGTCTGTCAGAGCATCCCAGACTCGTCTTCAGCCTGGGGCTGAGCACCAGGATGGGCAGGAGACCTCGGTGTCCATCTGTCCGTCCGTTCCTCTTCCTTGCTTGGAGAGTGAGGACAATGCAGCAGATCAAAGGGACTTGGGACAAGGACGTGCAGGATGGCTTTAAGGCAAAGGAGGGCAGGGTTAGGTGGGAAATTGGGAAGGAATTCCTCTCTGGGAGGGAGGTGAGGTCCTGGCACAGGTGCCCAGAGCAGCTGTGGCTGCCCCTGGATCCCTGGAAGTGTCCAAGGCCAGCTTGGAGCACCCTGGGATGTGGAAGGTGTTGGGGTGCACTGGGATGAGTTTTAAGGTCTCTTCCAACCCTTCTTTGATTCCATAATCATCTTTCCATGCATCTGTTTCTTGAATTTCCAGATCTGATTGGAATTTCAACACGAATCTCTTACTATTAATAGTTATTTACACTGAAACTTTAAAAAGCCGTGTTTCCATTGTAACAATTGTTTGATTGCTCCTGTTTTTGTCCTTCCATATTTGATGGACTTTCAACTCTGTGTTACTATAAATAATTATTTGCATTGAAACATTAAAAAACTGTGTTTCCATTGTAAATGTAGGCTCAATAAATAATGTTTGGTTGCTGGTCCTCGTTGTCTTTCCAGATTTGATGGGAATTTCAACACCAACGTTTCCAGAACCATCAGCTGCGATCGACTCTCGACCACTGTCAACAGCAGAGCCTTCAATCCTGGACGTGACTTAAATTCTGGTGAGCAGCACAGTTCTACTTTGGGGTTTTTTTCCTTCTGTTGTAGGGTTTTTTTTCCCATTAGACTCCAACATTTCCTTGGCACAGAGAATTTGCATTGATTGCCATAGCAACAAGCTTTTATTTCTCCTTGCAAGTGTCACACTGCTCTTAATTTGAGATTTCATGATTGAAAGCTGATACCTAAAGTAATGCCCTTAGTCTAAGTACTTTATAAAAATGTCACGAAGATTTTATTCCAGCCAACCGTGGATAATTTTGTTGTGGTTTCTGCACTTTTTATTTCTTCCTTTTTATTTTTTTCCCAAGGTTTTCTCCTTCCTAGGCCTGTCTGCTTTGGCATCAGCAGTGTCAGCTGCTGCAGGGGCCACACAGGGAAGTTTCTCTGATCTCCTTAGCTGAGTTCAGCCCATGTGAGGCTGCCTGTGCAGTGATATGCAAAAATGACAAAATAGGAGGGCATCTTAAAATATTTCCTTTCTTTGTCCTGTCAGGGCATTTTCTCAACATGTTTAAGGACTTAGAAATATGCTTAGAACCAAAATGCACACGACTTATCCCTGAAACATTCAGCTTTTGGGCCTCTGGTGCAGCAAGGTATTTTTAATTTTTTTTAATTTTTAATTTTTATTTTTTTTATTTTTGCATCTTAATCAGTGTGGATTAACACAGGGGTTCTGTTGGGTTTAGTCAGACTTTGCTCCAGCTGTTCCATCTGACTTTTTAACCTTTTATGGTGCTCAGTGCTGTAAATTAGGTAACATTAATAGACTGTGGATTTTATTTTGGGGAGGTTTGTTTGTTCATTCTTTTGGGAGAATAATGCAGACTTGGGATTTATTTTATTTTATTTTCATGCAGAGGTCTTTTGGAATTAAATGCTGATTTATTTCATTAACTTGACTAAAGTGGCAGCCCTGCCGTTTCACCCTCACCATCTTGCAACAAATGGGGAAAGAACCCCAAATTTTCATAAACTCCTTTACTGTTTCTCTTCTTATAGCTTTGCTTTCTGGATTTCTAAATGAATACAGAAATGAGCAGTCCCCACAGATTCTTTTCCATCCCATCCATGGTATCCCACATCTTGGATGCAGGTGCTGGCCAGGCTGATTTCCTGACAAGCCATGATTTGTGTGGTGTTTTCCATCCTAAAGCCAGGCACTCTTTGTTCACTCACTGTGATTTGCTGGGCTTTGTTTTACTCATCTCTTTATTAAAAAACCAAACCCAAACAACCCATTAAAATAATGTTTAAATCACATGCAGTTGTTAATTAATCAGAATCATTTTTGAAGGCAAGTTTAGAGTCACTGTTGCAACAGCAAAGCATACAATGAATCACTTCATGGTTTGTTATTAAATTAAATAAAAATCTTTTTCTACTGCTGAAGTTGGAGGTTAGAAAAGTATTCAAGAAATATATCTTATTTTCAGTTTCTTGTAAACATAATTTAAATTTCTGGTTTGAATTCTCAAGAAATAAAATGAGAGGGTGTTCAAGGTTCCTGCTGTCCTGGCTCAGCAGTGAGGTTCAAGTGCTTCCTCTTCCCTTGCCTCTGGCTTGAAAGATTCCTGATGAAAGGAGAACCTTCAAACATGGCATTGGCAGGAAAGGGCAGCAGGAGAGGAGAGGGAATTGAAGGAGAGTAAGAGCAGGGATTTATTGACAGCAGACTCTCCTCTGGCTCTCCTTTCACAGAAACAGCCTTGGGGGGAGGTTTTGATTAGGGAGGAAATGTCTGTAAGAGAGAAATGGGATGGAAAGAGTGGGTTGAGGCAGGAAGACGGGATGGAAATGGTTAATTTGAGGAACAAAAGTTGGTACTGGGTGCACCCCTAGTGAAGAGAGAAGTTTTGTGTTGGTGAGGCCAAGGAATATCCTTGATCCTTGCTGTGTTTGAAACAAGTCTGGGAGATCAATCACAGATGGGGTTGGGTTGGAAGGACCTCAGAGCTCATGCAGTGCCACCCTGCCATGGCAGGGACACCTCCCACTGTCCCTGGGTGCTCCAGCCTGGCCTTGGGCACTGCCAGGGATCCAGGGGCAGCCCCAGCTGTGACTGGTGCCAGTTCCACCTTCCCATCCCTGCTCCTCATCTCAGCCGCTCCGAGCAGCCCAACCCCAGCACCAGAGCTCTGCGCGACCCTTGGGGACCCTCAGGAGGGTCAGCAGGGCCCTGCTGGGGTGGGGCTGTGCCACTGCTGAGACACAGAACACCACACATTCCAGAAGGTTCCTCTCTCTTTATTTTAACAGCATGCTGCCTTTCGTACCTTTTCAGAAAGTTTGTATTTGTTCCTTGGCCACAATGAATCCACACGGTGCTCACTGACACAGAGCAGTCTCCACACTGTCCTCAGCCAAAGTCCAGCTGCAGGCCCCTCGTTTGCCTTCTGTTCTTCTTGGTTTCCATGTTGATGGATTGACAGAATTCCTTTCAGGGGTGAACAAGTCCCTTATCTTCTGCAGCTGTCTGTGGCTCACAGAGCAGCTCTCAGCCCCTTGCACAGGCCTGGGCACGCTGGAGCAGTGTGGGGCTGGATAAACAGGGTGGGAGGTGTTTGGGGTGTTTGGGGTGTTGGTGTTTGGGGTGTTGGGTTGGTGCTGCCTGTAGCACGGGGTGGTGCAGCCATGGGCTGTGACCTGTGCCAGGAGATCCGTGTGTGCCCAAAAGAATCTATGGGCTGGGACGGGAATTGGCTTGGGATGGAAATGGAGTGGGAGGCAGTTTTGGTTGCAGGGGTGGAGTGCTCTCAGTGCCCCGGCATCCCCCCAGCTGGGGAGATGCTGTCACCTTGTAAGTGGGCTTTTAAAGTACTAATTAGTGTATCTGTGTCTTAAAACTCAATTTTATCTTTCTGTAGGACCGCTTACCTTTGAGGGTACCCTCAGGGCAGAGCCCTTGGTGTGCACAGGAGCCAATTCTCAATAAATCGATCAATACTCACATTAAACTAAAGCCACCTCTGAAAGAAGACTGTGATAAAATACAAAAAAAAAAAAAATCCCCTAATCCCATAATTTTCTTTCTTCTTTCATAAGTGTCCTCATGCAGAGCTGGGGAGGAATATCTGTTTCACTTTGGGTTTAGGCTCTACCTCTGCCTCACTTATTTTTATGCTTTAAAAACTGTGGGTACATCTGGGTGTTCTCATCGTTGTCTTCCTGAATGAGTTTTTCATTTCATTTGGAACATAAAAGGCAAAATTCCCATGAGTATCCCCCCTTTTCCCATGTGAGTTCTGCAGTTTAAATAATCCTGCCTATAAAAAGCTCCTGGCAAAACATAAATTTCAGCTCTGCTCTGCTCGACCTCAAGCTAAGCTCTGGAAATGTTAATCTTGGCCCAGAGTAAAAAGTGGGATTGGAGTGCTGAAGTTGGAGGTGTTGGAAGGGAATGGAATTTGCACCACAAAGCCACAGGAACAGAGCCTGGGAGAGCCCTCGGGGACAGCAACCCCAGATTCCACCCTGAGCAGGGTGTTAAGAAGGGTGATGGAGCTCATGAATCTTTCAAATCTGTTTTTTCCATTATTATTGGATTTTATTTTTTTTTTTTGTTAAAATAAACATTAGTCTTAGGGGAAGGAGAGAGAAATAGATGTGTCTCCTCAGCTTTTAAAAAATACCACTTGTACCACTGTTTTTTCTTAATATTAGGTGACTTTTAAATTGTTTTTTAGTGTCTTGAAAAGATTTTGTTTTATCTTGGTTGGAGTTTTGCATCTGGATTACTTTTAGCCATTACTACAAAACAGATAAGGAGAAAGTCTTTATTCTCCAGATGGAGACACAGGCTTTGGGCAGTTAGATGAAGAGATCTGTCCTCACCCCTCTGAATAGTCCTTTATTTATTAAATCTTCCCCAGAGCCAGTGCATTATGTTATCAGATTCCTTTGGAGGTTTTTTTTTTTCCTTTTGAATAAACAGGGAACCAGTAAATCTTTCTCCTTCTCATTCTTCAAAGTGCTGAAATGTCTGTTCCAAGTCAGGCAGCTTTGGCAGAGCTCTCCTCCCCAGAAATATGCAGAGATGGCACCAAATTGCCCAGTAAATCCTGTCTGTTTTATTCGGGGTGTTGATCATTTAAAATCTTAGAATCATAAAATACCTGGAGTTTGGAAGGGTAATCGAGTCCAGAATGTGGAATGTTCCTTAAATTGCTGTATTTTACACTGATTTTTGGCTGAGTTAAAACGGCTGGGAGTTATTTGAGCAGAAGAGTTAATACCCCTCCTTCCAAATCCTTTTCCTGGAGGAATCTTGGTCCCATTCCTTGAAAGGGTTTTTTACTTCTTTTCCCATCAGAGTCCTGAGGATTGAGCAGGGCTCTGTCCTGGCTCATGCCACCAGCAGAATGCTAATTGTGGCTGAGCTGCAGAGCTTTTATTCCTGGTGACAACACAGGAGCTGGAATTGGGTTTGACTTGGAACCTCCTGGATCAGATCTGTCTGGAGAGTTAGAGGATGTCTTCATTTGTGCAATAAACACATTTCTTTGTGCTGTTTCTCCACCATGAGGGTCCTTAATGGAGGGACTTGTCAGAGGAGAACTGGAAATGAAACTTTCCTGGGTTTTGTGGGATGAGATCCGAGGTCGGCAGCTCAGCAAATGTAATGCTAAAGAGGAGGGCTGTAAGAAACCCTTTTATAACGAGCAATTATGTTCAGTAGTTCCTTTTTTTTTTTCCCTGACTGTTTGTGCTGTTCTTTGAAGATTAATTAGTTAATGATTTGGCTGTGCTTTGAAGATGTAAAGTGGTATCTAGAAGTGCTAAGTGTTATCATATCGCATTCCCTTTGAAGTTTTATAAACTCTATCACACAGGGCTTTCTTCCTAAAGTCCTTTTTGCCTTGTGAGATATTTATAATTAGAGAGAACTATAATTTCAAATGCTGTCATCTTAATACTTCCCAACTTTTCCAGTCTGCAGCAGGATTTGGAGTCAGATCTTGCAGGGGAAGTGGAGGGGACAGAGGTTTTGGAGTGACCTGGCAATGCCACCTCATGGGCAGCTGGGCACTTTTATTCCCAATCTGTGTCCAGAAGTACGTGATCACCTTTGGGATCATTCATTTGGATGGAATAATCTGCCCAGGGCCTGGTTTTCCTGGGAGGAGGAGGTGGGAATAAACTACAGGGGTTGGAAAGTTGGGGTAAAAGTGAGATTTAGGTTAAAAAAAAAACATCTACTATGTATTCTGGCAAGGAGCAAGAATTGAGGCAATATCTGCAGGGCTTTCTTGCAGCTTGAGTGGATGGAAAATAAGAATGTGTTTAAAGAGAAAAAGTCTGGAGTTTTCAGCCATGGTTTATCTGCAGGGAGATTGTCTGCTGTGGTCATTAGAAAAAGAAAAAAGGGGGAAAAAGCAGAGTTAGGATTAAATTTGTGGTCCCTGGGGAAGGTGTTATTGAACTAACACTTGCTGGAGGAAACATGAGCACAACTGTGTGAAAAGGAAGAACAGCAGAGCTTGAGTTTCAAAACCAATTGTTTTATGGGGAAAATGAACCTTTTTAAATCCACATACTCTCATAGGGAAATAAATACAGCTCGTGGCCTTGCAGGAATGAGAAGTTTATCTTTAATATAGCAAGGATTAAAAAAAGCCTTTAAATTTTAAACTCCTCTGTTGTAATGTTGTTGGTAAAATGAGACCGGACAAGTTATTTCATCCAGGCTTTAACTGAGTGTTCACATGTCAACTTTGAAATTACATTTTTCGAGTTCTGTAACTCAAAAACTTCAACACCAGAAATTCAGCCTCTTTATACAAAACAACTTCACCCCAGAACTATGAAATCCTGGTGGCTGGGCATATAAAGAAGGATTTAAATGTTTGTAGTCTCATGGCCCTTCTGCCTGCAGGAGGAAGCAGCAGTTCAGAGAAGAAATAGATTTTGGAGGGGAACGAGGAATCTCTGGTAGAACTTGGTCCATCAAGGCAGGGAATTGTTCTGGTGAGAAGCTGCATTTTTGCACAGAGCTCAGGATCCCGGTGTCATTTTTAGGCACTGTGGGAAGTGTCAAATACTGTGGCAAAGAGGAGTGAGGAAAGCCCAGGACAGTGGTTTTTGCAGGGTAATTACACTGAGCTGGATGTGGAGAGAACATCCAGCCACAGCCAGTCTGGGAAACTTGAGTAAGTGCTAAAGTGTGGAGGATGTGGAGCTCAGACTGTCTTCGGTGTGGGTGTTTGGGTGTAGAGTGTCTGGCTAGGGTTTGAATGTGCCCTGCAGTCCTTTCCAAGCCAAATATTGGCATATTTGATAATGAAGGAGATGAAATTGGTCTATTTTCAGTGCCAGTCCTGAGGGAGTGCTGGAGGGAAATGCTGAGCAAAAGGTGAAGCACTGGAAACCAGAGCCCCCCTCTGCCAGTTCTTTTGAGTTCTGCAATCAAATAACATGAAAGGAGAAATGGCAAAGAAATATTTTCTTTTTTTCATGGATTTTAAGCTGGTGCGATCCACTTTATTTGCTTGGTAAAAACTAAAGATTTCAACTATCCAGATTTGAGAGCAGACAAGGTCTGTGGGACATTCCCACAGGCAGAAATCCCAGTGCCCATGGGATCTGTTCCCAGTGTCCATGGGATCTGTTCCTTTCCCAATGTCCATGAGATCTGTTCTTTACTAATGTCCATAGGATCTGTTCCCTTCCCAGTGTCCATGGGATCTGTTCCTTTCCCATAGGATCTGTTCCCTTCCCTGGCAGTAGGTTGGTTATGAAGCTGTGAGCACCAATCCTGTTGAATATTTTGGAATTATTCCACCAAAAGAACAGGATTTTTTTTTTACCATGAAGGCTTTTTCCTTTTTGGAAAGGATGTTGACAATGTATTTATTGCTACATGGAGATGTAGAGGTGTATATATATTATATATAATTGTCTTAATCTCTTCCTTCCTCACTCTGGCCTTGCCTTCCCAGGACCTGGGTGTACTTCAGAGATTCAGGAGCTGTCATCACACGTTAAACAAAATCTGTGCAATCCAGTGTTGAATTTCTTGAACTGTTTACAGATCAGTGAAGTTTCACCAGTGTGTTTCACCCATCCTAAGCAGAGCAGTTTATGCTTCATGCAGGGCCCTGGTTGTTCTTCTCCAAACTCTACCAGAGAGGCCCTGGGTAACAAATCCTCTGGGTCTGAGCTGCCTTTGTAACTCTGCTTCATTCTCCCCTTCCACTCTGCAGTCCTTGCTGATAACCTGAAGTCCAACCCAGGAATCAAGTGGCAATATTTCAGCTCAGAAGAAGGGATTTTCACCGTGTTCCCAGCCCACAAGTTCCGGTGCAAAGGCAGCTACGAGCACCGCAGCAGGTAGGATTTGCCTCCTTCCCATTTCCTGGGAAAAGCATTCCCACTGCATTCCTCAGGCCCTCATTTCACTCACTGTTGTCCTTTGCCAAGCTGCCAACATTCATGAGTAGCTTCTAATGGAGTCCCTTGGGTTTTCTTAGGGCTCTTTTTTAAAGCACTACTTTTCACTTCTAAGGAGCTAAACTAAAATTCCAAACAGGTCCTCACCTCTCCCAAATTAAATCAGCTGTAAAAAGCAGTGACTTGGAAGTTGTAGGTCAGCCTGCAGGCAAAATCCAACTTATATTTGACTCATGCTTGACTCCTGTTAATGAAGCAGTGAACAGACATTCTGCTGATTTGGCAGGTGCCAAATCCTTCCCCTCCAGAGGGAGGGGAAGGATGAGAGACTGGGAAGGGCACATAGGTAGGAGCATTTTTCCCCAGGTTCAGGTGGCACATCATGGATAGCAGGGAAGCAGCAGTGAAAATTTCCTTCCACTAAAATAAAAAAGTAAAAATAAACCATCAGCTGGTGGCGGGGTTTCCTGCACAGGGATTTCTGTTCTCTGGACATGAAGGCAAAAATAAGGCCAGTATTTTTCCCTGCTTTTTCTGTCAGTACCATGGGATTGATGGGGGCTCGAGGGTGGGAAGGTGCAGTGGCTTTGATATCTCTGGTCACACATTAATTAATTGTACAAGTTAATCAGTCTGGGCAGGGGAAGCAGCAGCTCATCCAGGAACCTTTTGGGGACACTAAGGAGGGTTTGGTTTTCTGTCAGGGTTGAGCAATCAAAAGTTTACAGATGGTATCTTTGGAGTGCCATCAAAGCACAAAGTTCTGAGCTTGACTGAGTTTTCTGGGGCCTTGGAAAGGTGAGGTCTGAGGAGGTGAGACCTGGGGGTGCCCCAGTCCTGCTCAGAACTCCGACACTAAAACCATCAGTGGTTTAATCCAAATCACTTAGTCTGGGTCATAGTTCCTCCATGGCTACATAAGGAGTCTCTTTTTGCTAATATTTACTTCAGAGGGTAGTTTGGGTGAATTAATTAGTTAATGCTTCAGTGCTTTGAAGATCAAAGGCCCTGTTTCAGTTGCAGGTATTAATCCAGGGTCAAGCTGCAGGCTGTTTTACAGTTAAGAACTGATTTGTGCCAGTTGTTTACTGCAGTGCCTTGTGTCAAATCTTTTGCATTTCCTTTCCTTTTAATAAGATTTCTGTGTCTGCCTTTGATATAATGAAATTTAGACCCCAAAACTCTCACTTGACTGTAACTAGTTTGGTGTCTGGATTAAAGAGGAAGGAGAAACTTGCCATTTTATTTTAATCCTTCCTCTGTGCTGAGGATCCTCCTAATTTATTCCAGGTTGAAACCTTGGCGTGAGAGCTTGTGAACTCTTTCACACATCTCTCAATATCGAGCTGGATCTGAAAACACTTGCCTGAAAACAAGTTTTTTGGTGTTAGCACAGACACATGTCAGCACTGAGAGTCCCCATTGGTGTTAGCTCACTTCTGGGTGTAAAACTGGGCAGATCCAAGGGCTTGTGGAGCATGACCCAGGTGAGAGTCATCTCAGGGCACCCTGCCTTGGCCAGGAGCCTTCTTACAACAGCCCAAACACCCTGGGCTGATCAGCTCCCTGCAGCTGCACAGGTTTTTACTTGTCCTGGCCCCAGCACATCCCCATTGTTGCACCCAGTTCACGTGTGGGTGAAGTTCCCAGCAGCCAGGATTTACCAGGAGGCATTTCTTGCTTCATTCAAACCTTGCTGTGAACTGCTGCAGCAATCCCAAACTCTGCTGCTGTGTAAGCAACTGGGTTAAGTCCTGAAAACTCTCGCTGTGACAGAGAGAAAACCACCTGGTTTAGGTTAAAAAATTCAGGAAGTGAGGGGCATTTCTGCATGCTCAGATTCTCAGCTGCCCTTTCCTGGTACAGGTTTTCATAAGGGGGAAAAATTCCTGTTACAATTCATTATTTCTTCTTGGCTGTTTGCTTGGGTGTTCTATTTCCTGCCTATTTCCACCTGTGAGCATTCCAGTGGGGATGACAGGGTGCCTGATGATGATGATGATGGTGGTTTGGGTTTTGTCCTTCCTCAGGCCCGTCTACGTCTCCACCGTTCGCCCTCAGTCCAAGCACATCGTGGTCATCGTGGACCACGGGGCCTCTGTCACAGAGACACAGCTCCAGATTGCCAAGGATGCTGCCCAGGTGATCCTCAGCTCCATAGATGAGCACGACAAGGTGAGGTTTCTCCAGGCCAGGAGCAGCTTTCCCTGGATTTTCAGTTCTCACCCAAAGTGGTGTTTTCAGCCCAAGGAGCTCAGCAGATTTGGGGGCTGCCTCCGAGGGGTGGCAGAGCCTTGAGCTCACTCGTGGAACCTTTCTGCTGCAGGGGAAACATTTGGGGATCTCTAGGCTGGGAAAAAAGTGAAATCCCACTGATCTAAGGCAAAATCTTGTACCTGAGCAATCTTTAAAGGCTCTTCCATCTCAGCAGATATTTCAGTGGTGGTCAACAGGAAGAAGAACCATGCTCTAAACATGACTCCTCACATTTTCAGCAGCTCATTTCACCTCTGAGCCTCTCTTTATGTCTTGTAAAAATGGAAATTATTTATTCTTGTGCAGTACTGGTGTGAGCTGAAGCATAATTAGTATTTGTAAGAGTCACAGATAATTATGGGACCAGCAAAGGGCTGAGAAATCTGGGTTTGATTTCTTGCTCTGTCACTGGTACTCATTTGACAGCGAGAAAGTCACTTAACCTGTAATTTTTTTTTCAGAACAGGCAACCATGCACTCATAAAGTGCTTCTGTAAAAGGTCTCCAGTTTGGTCTTTACTTTTAGTAACTATCTACTGGTGAGACCTTGATCAGTCTCTCTGCTTTGGTTTTCTTTTGTGAATAGGAAGAGTTTCAGTTAAATCAAATTGAAGAAAACTGATGATAATCTTTGCCTTATGTATTCTCATGAATAGTATGGGAAAACCACTTGTAACATGGTGCTTTTAGAGAGATTTAATATGGTAAAGTAATCTTACAGTTCAGCAGGATTAATAGCACTTAAATTCAAGTGTCAGAAGGGTTTGTGTTAATACAGAGAATACATTTAAGACACCTATTCCTTGGTCAGTAGCTCAGTGGTTATAAAACCTGTTACACAGGTAACTAATTACTGCTTAATTCTGTGGCAGTCTTGCCTCAGTCATGCTCCCTAATGAAGTTTGTCACTCAGGTAATGAGTCTGGTGTGTTAGATACCATTAAGGCATAGAGGTAACACTTGCATTAACTTATTCACAGGAAAAGCTGATGTCAGAGTCGCCTTGCTTTGACTGCAACATTAAAACAACAAAAAGCTTTGCTGGGAGCACTCCTTAGAGGGGTTGTTTATTTATTTTCCATTTCTCTGTGCACTCCACTTTTCTCTGGGCTCTGCAGGCTTTCCTGAAAATTTCCTGAAAATTCCCTGTCAGCTCCCCGTGGCCCACTCAGGCTCTGCCCAGAGCAGTGCATTGACCATTGTGAGGGAGCAGAGTGAGCCTGACTCTGCTGAGAAACAAAGACCAAAATCTCTTTTCCTTGAGCTCAGCATAATCCTTTTGAAATTTGACAGATTTATGCCTCAAGCGTTTCTTTTCCAAAAATCCAGTTTTAAACCCAGGAATCTCCTCCCTTGGCTTCTTGTTGTGTGTCTGGGTGTGTTAAGATGATGTAAAGATGTGTGTTGTGTTCTCCATGCAGGAGAGCAGGACTTCTGGATAAGTAATTAAGCAGAAGCCCCTTTATTGTTTACATCAAGCTCTATTTATACATTCTAACACTACTGCACAAACAATCACACATTTCTTGATTGGTGCCTCTACCTTGTCCATGCTCTTTTCAGGATCTATGACTGGTTACAGTCCAGTGCTTTAAGGCCCTCCTTTATCTAGTTCTTGTGGTCTTGGCATCATGTTTCTCATCCTCTTCTTTCTTAATGTAGCACAATTGATGTCTTAGTAACCTTGAGAATCCCAGAGGGTTCTGATAAGAATTACAAAAAACGGTTTGGCTGGAGCACACTGTGGCCTAAGCTGTTTAAGCACATTTTTCCACCTCCAGGGGAGGCTGATCCCATGGGATCTCTTCCCCTTGGGATCTCTTCCCCCTGGAATCTCTTCCCCCTGGGATCTCTTTCCCCAGGATCCCTTCCCCATGGGATCCCTTCCCCATGGGATCCCTTCCCCATGGGATCTCTTTCCCCAGGATCCCTTCCCCTTGGGATCTCTTCCCCCTGGAATCTCTTTCCCATGGGATCCCTTCCCCCTGGGATCTCTTCCCCCTGGAATCTCTTTCCCATGGGATCCCTTCCCCCTGGGATCCCTTCCCCATGGGATCCCTTCCCCATGGGATCTCTTCCCATGAGATCTCTTTCCCCTGGGATCTCTTCCCCATGAGTTCCCTTCCCCCTGGGATCTCTTTCCCCGGGATCCCTTCCCCATTGGATCCCTTCCCCCTTGGATCCCTTCTCCATGGGATCTCTTCCCCCTGGGATCTCTTTTCCCAGGATCCCTTCCCCCTGGGATCTCTTCCCCCTGGAATATCTTCCCCCTGGGATCTCTTTCCCCGGGATCCCTTCCCCCTGGGATCTCTTTCCCCGGGATCCCTTCCCCCTGGAATCTCTTCCCATGGCTCTCTCCCCGGCAGATCTCGGTGCTGACGGTGGCGGACGCGGTGCGGACGTGCTCCCTGGACCAGTGCTACAAGACTTTCCTGTCGCCTGCCACCAGTGAGACCAAGAGGAAGATGTCCACCTTTGTCAGCAGCATCAAGGCGTCCGACAGCTCCACGCAGCACGCCCTGGGCTTCCAGAAGGCTTTCCAGCTCCTCCGGAACACCAACAACGGCACCAGGCTCCAAGGAAGTAAGCCAGCCTCTTGTGCAAGCCTGCTTATTGCAGGGCTTTGCAGTGTTTCCTTATTGCACATTCTCACTTTGGCAGAGGCCAAGGGAGTGGGGTGTGTTGAATAGGAACAAAAATGTGCTCCGTGCCCTGTTTCTGTTTTAAGGGCTGCAGTCCACGTGAGGGGCTGTGTGATGTGTCCAGTCCCTTGTCATTTGTGTCACTTGCTGCCTTGCCTTTCTTTTGAACAGAAAGAGGAGAGTGCAGGATTGATCTGTGTGAGAGCTGAGTTATTTCCCCAATCTCTATAGGGGGGCAGGGGGCCTTTCCAGGAAAATTGCAGCTTCTGCAGGTTCATTTAGTGAGTGCTGGATATTTGCATATGGATGATGTGCCTTACTGGAATCCTGGGGAAGTGGCCCTTGCTTCCCAGGGAAATGAGGTTTTGAGAATATCGATTATGGGTGATATTTTTTGGAACACAAAGCTGTCCTGGCTAAATTTTCCTTCATCTCAGAATAACCCCACTGAACTCTGTGTATTCATTATGAGCTTTATCCTTCCCCTTCCCAAGATTGGGGTTTTTCTGGGTGTTTTTTGTAGTGAGGTTGTGATGGAAAACATGAAAAGATGGATGTGAAATTGAGTGGCAGATTTGCTTGCCAGGGAGCTGTGGCAGGCAAATCCTGTGCTCTGGGTGCTCCTTGGATTTGAGTAACACCAGCAGTGCCAGGGCAGGGTGGAGGGAGCAGCCCATCTCCATTGGGATACTTGGATTATGTAACTCAATTCCCACAGCCTGGCCCTGTGCCTGCTCCAGTGAGAGCAGAGCCTTCAGTGTCCCAAAGGGCACCAGCTCAGAGGCTGTGCAGAGCCAGGGAGAGAGGAAAAGTCCAGGAATTGAAGTGCTTTGGAAAGAATGAGGAAATACCCTCTCATTCCACGTGACTTTCCTTGCATTTATGGAATGGTGCTTCTGCTACCAAAGGTTCAGCCAATCCCTGAGCTTCAGGCCATTGGCACAGGGAGATTTTGGGGGGTTGGAGAAAGGATCAGGTTGGCAAGGGCAGGATTTTACCATCCTCTGGCAAAATGATGACAGGGGAGCAGCTCCAGCAAATACAAAACGAACAGTGCAGTGCTGCTGCAGCTGGCTGGGATAAGATGCATTTGTCATCAGGACTTATTTCAAGAACATCAGCTGAGGAGTCTTGGAGCATCTTCCTGTTATTCCCCATTCCTGGAAGTGTCCAAGGCCAGTTTGGACAGAGCTTGGAGCACCCTGGGATAGTGGGAGGTGTCCCTGCCCATGGCAGGGGTGGGATGAGATGGCTTTAAGGTCCCTCCCAACCCAAACCATTCCAGGATTCCATGTTTTCATGTTTGGCACTGTTTTATATTAGGATTGGAAGTTTTGGCATATTCATACTTCACTAGGTTTCATATCAAGCAACTATTTTGGGGCACAAGCACAGAAAGTTAAAATGCAAATGCTTTGGATTTAGGTTTTCTCTACATGTGGAAGATCGTGAAGATCTAATGTGTTTATAGCAAATTTCAGAATTCCTGGCGTGAGGCACAATAGGTTTGAGAAGAGGATGTTTATAAAACATGTCTCGTTTTCTTGTAAATAATCTTTTCATCTTTTAAAAAAAGAAAAACAAACCCAGCAAAAAAAAAAAAATCCTTCATTTCACTGTTAATTTTCTAACATCCTGTTCCCAGAGAACAATGTCTGGGTGTGTCAGGGAAGTTGTTGATATACAGCTTCAATCCCAAATTCACACTGGCAAAGCCAGAAGGGAACTGCTGGTGTGAGATGGGAGAACTGTGCTGTTAAACACATCTGGATTTTCTGCTTCGGGTCCTATTGCAGTCCTGCTCAGCAGCTCCTCATCCCAAAGGGTGACAAAATGCTCCAAAAGCTGCTTGCTCTGGTCCCTCACGCAGATTTAGGACTGGTGCTTGTTACTCCACTGAGGCTGCAGCACCGTGCCTGGCTGCAGATAAAATATCTCTGCTGTAGCCTAGGAAACACAGCAACAATTTACCTTAAACTCCACCCAAAGCTGCTTCAAATACCTGGCTTTGCTTCTTTTCCTACTTTTAGCCCTTACACAAAACTAAGGTAGAAATTTCCCCAAAATAACAGCACCTCCTGTTTGTGTCAAAATCTGGTTCTGGCTGAATTCTGGTCAAGCCACGAGGACAAAATGTGCAAGTCAAAGCATTGATACCTATTTAATAAATCAGTACAGCAAATGCACCGAAAATCCAGGTGAAACAAGAAAGTTGGGACGTGACCACATCAGCCCAGTGCATGGATTTCCTGTGGGTGATCCCAATCCATGTGTTCATTATAAACACAAACCACTCTCAGTACTGAGATAAATGTGATGGAGCAGGTTGGGGAGTCAGCACAGAGCTGTAAATTGTTGTCTTCAAAGGCTTTGGGGCAGGACTTTGGCCAGGAACATCCTCAGCCTGAGAAACGTGTTCCAGGGCAAGTGTGAGGGGCCAGGTCACATTCCCAAGCTTTCTGCTCTGCCCTGCTCCATGGGAAGCTCTGTGCAGCTCCATGCCTTAGGATTGCAGGGTGGAAGGAGAGCAGAGGGGCAGGAGATGAAAAGTGCAGGTTTTGACTTTGTGGAGCCTTTTCCATGGAATTGGAGGCAGCTGCTCCAGGTGCTGGATCTGTGTGCTCCTGCCTGGAGGCAGCCAAGCTCCTCACCTGGAGGTGAGAAGGATCCAGGGAGACCTTGGTGCCTAAAGGGATCCAGGGGAGCTGGAGAGGGACAAGGGATGGAGGGACAGGACACAGGGAATGGCTCCCACTTCCAGAGGGCAGGGATGGGTGGGATACTGAGAATTAGGAATTGTTCCCTGGGAGGGTGGGCAGCCCTGGCACAGGTGCCCAGAGCAGCTGTGGCTGCCCTGGATCCCTAGCACTGCCCAAGGACACTTGGACAGGGCTTGAATCAACCTGGGGTGGTGGAAGGTGGGACTGGATGGGATTTAGGGTCCCTTACATCCCATCCATCCCATGACTCCAAAGCCAGGAGGTGCCTGTGGGGTTTGCTCAGGAGAGCAAGCCCCAGTGCTCCTGGGTGGCCGACAGGCACCAAACCAAACACAAGTTCGGGGGTGCCAAGAGTGAAACTTGAACACCAAAGGCTGGGATTCATGTGGCTGCAGTGTGTTCATCCCCTGGAGGTGCTGTGGATCCCTGGGAGAAGCTGCTGTGAGCAGATTTCAGGGCTCTCAGCACGGGAGTTAAAAACCTGATGCACTCTGTGCTGTGTGTGTGATTGTCTTTCAGATACTGACATGGTCATCATTTATCTCTCGGCTGGGATCACATCAAAAGAGTCCTCAGAAGATGATAAAAAAGCCACTCTGCGTGTCATCAACGAAGAAAACAGCTTCCTCAATAACTCAGTGATGATCCTCACTTATGCCCTCATGAATGGTGAGAGATGCTTGTGATTTCCAGGCCATAAAATTCCCTTTCCTGGCACAGCCCAGCTTGTTTATTAAACTCATTCCAGGGTAATTCCAGGCCTTACTGGGAGCAGTTTGTTCATGGATTTTGGCACGTTTAATCCAGAAGCTGCATCCAGATGTTGTTACTTCAGTGTTTGTAGCTGTGCCACTCTATCCTTGTGTATCCCAGTGCAGCTGCAGGGATATAAAATATTGTGGCCTGGATTCTACAGACTGAGTTAAATTGGTTAATTATTGCAACTGCAAAGCTTCCTGGGGGATTTCAGGGGCAGCAGACTGGGACTAAGAGTGAATTCATCAGCAAGGGAAGGTGAATGGGAGATCAAACCAAGTCTGAAATGCTTTGATAACCTGGGAGCCAACCTGAGAGTTAAGTTAAACATGAAGATCACCCACCCATTTTCCAAAGAAGTATTTTCAGCCTGAAGACAGTTTGTTGTGTTACTGCAAATAGCCAAGGAGATGAATGCTTAACCCAATGTATGATTTGGTTGTAAATTTAAATACTCATTTGAGACTGGGGCGGGCAAAAGGCTTTGATTTGCGTGCAGGAGTTGAGGCTGGGTCTTGAGTGAAGTGTGAAACTGGAATGATTCAGCTGGAGAACAAAGGCTGTTATCTCCAGGGCTGAGGAGTCGCTCCTGGTCCTGCCTGTGGGCGAGCCACCGGTGGAGAACAAAGAGCTGTCCTGTGGATTTATGGGGCACACAGCTCTTTGCTCCAAGGGCTTTGTTTAAAGAGGGGATGTGAACAGCAGGGCAAATCTTTCGCACTGTGCTACAGCAGGAGAGAGGCAATCTCTGTACATTTGGTGTTAGTAATCAATTTTCCTCAAACCGATCTTTAAGCACTTAAGTAAGAATATAGAATTTTCAGTGCTGTGATACAGAGTATGGATCTGGAGCAGGGTGCAGAAGCCTGGATGGAAATGAAGCTTGTTTGACCTGTTGGCTTGTGTTTTGTGCCCCTGCTGCGTGGCAGAGGGGGTGACAGGGCTGAAGGAGCTGGCTTTCCTGCGGGACCTGGCGGAGCAGAACTCGGCCAAGTACGGCGTGCCCGACCGCAGCGCCCTGCCCGTCACCAAGGGCAGCATGATGGTCCTCAACCAGCTCAGCAACCTGGAGACCACCGTGGGCAGGTTCTACACCAACCTGCCCAACAGGATGATTGATGAGGCCGTGTTCAGCCTGCCCTTCTCGGATGAGATGGGGGATGGTGAGTGCTGGCCTCGGGTTTGGGTGGAAAACCATCCGAGATCAGGTTCTTTTTGCTGTCCTGTCCCCAGATACCCTGCCATCCTGTGTTCTAGTTGAGATGGAGACAATGCAAATACACTGCATTTTCACAAGGCTTCAATCTGTTTTTACTCTAGCATGAACGCTTTTTATACATTCTTACAAAACTCACAAGTTTACACTTCACTCATTGGTCACAAGACAAACAAAGTGCTCATTGGAAAGGGCAGTGCAGGTTTCTCTTATTTATCCTTCTTTCTTCCTTGGTTTCTGTGTCAATGACCTTGGTAGGAAATCCTTTCAGGGCTGAACATGGATCCTGTTATCAAATGTGGATCCTGTTATCAAACATGGATCCTGTTATCAGATATGGATCCTCATATCAAATGTGGATCCTCTTATCAAACATGGATCCTGTTATCAGACATGGATCCTCATATCAAACATGGACCCTCATATCAAACATGGACCCTCATATCAAACATGGATCCTCTTATCAAACATGGATCCTGTTATCAGACATGGATCCTCTTATCAAGCTTCTCTCTGGCACACAGAAGTCACTGTAAAACCTCTTCCACAATCCTACAAGATTTTGGTTCTAGGTGTGTTTCCAAAGCCTTTTTGTCTGTAGCATTTGCATCTGCAGATGGTTTAGTTGTGAATAAGCTGGTAACAAGACATGGAGTGGACAGATTTAGTTTGGATTCTTGTGGTGAAATTTGTTCCTGTGTATGAGGACATACCCAACATCCATCATTTAATCTGTGGAGAGAAATTCTTTGTACTGGAGGGATACAGGTTGGGATGGTATCCATGTCAGCCCTGTGTAAGAGCAGGATAAAAGCAGCCTTGCAAATGGCACAAGGAGAGATTGGTAATTATTAATTAATGTCCCAAGCTGGCTGCCCTCAGCCCTTCTTTGGCTTCAGCACACCTGGACAGTTCTGAGACCCAAACTGAATTTCCTGAGGAAATCTGAGGCTGAGCTTTTGCTCCTTCCTGCATTCCCTCCCCCAGTGATTAAACTCTGTCCTTGCTCTCTCCCAAAGCCATATCCAAGGGAAAATGGGAGCAAGAGAGGTTTGGGAATGGTGCAATAGATGGGTTTGTCTTACATGGATATCAGAGTGTACTTGAAGGCTTGTGCATGCAAATGAATTTTATACTGGGGTGAGGGATGAGCTGCTGAGTTGCCAAGTTCAGAAAATAGGAGTAAGAAGATGTTGGAGAGTTCTCACCTCAGGGATGAGATCAGTCCCAAAGTGTTGGGTAATTATGGATATGATTCCCAGCACAGTGGCAATACTGGGATTTAGTTAAGCAGAGATTTAATATTCTGATTACGCATTAGGTGGGAAACAGCTCATCCCAACTGTTGCTTTAGAAGGACAAAGTAATTTCCTTCCTCTTCCATCCTATTTATAGGAATTATCCTACAGGAATAGGATATAGGAATAAATATCCTATTTATAGGAATTAATCCTTAAATTCTGTTAAAGGAAGAGAATACCCTGTTGGCTTTTCACACAAATTTATATCTATAAGGAATCCACTTGGAGACTAATAAATTTATGAATATACTTCAGGCCACTATCAGGAATATAGATTAATTAGGGAGAATGGCTGACAACAGCCAGACACAACAGAAACCCTGCTGAGCCTCCCTGGCCACATTCCAGCATGGAATAGATACAAAATTTAATTGTCTAACATTTCAAAATGCTCCGTTTCCTCTCCAAATAATGAACCAGACGATTTTTCTGATGGTTCTGTGGTGTTTCTCTCCCTCCAAGGCCTGATAATGACTGTCAGTAAACCCTGTTACTTTGGGAACCTCCTGCTGGGAATTGTTGGAGTAGATGTCAACCTTGCCTATATCTTGGAAGATGTCACCTATTACCAGGACTCCTTGGGATCCTACACATTCCTCATTGATAATAAAGGTAATTTTGACTCAGATCATCTCCTCTAGTCCCACTGAGCTCGTGAACCATCAATTCTGAATTCTCACATTTCTGAGTAATGAATGATAGTATTTATTAAAAGTTTAATTGCATTTTGTTGGTTAGTTCTACCTGAATGTTGCTGTAGATTTTAGTAGATTCATGACTTGAAATTTCTGTCCTGGAGTTCTGGTTTGTAAACTCTGGCTGTGGGGATTTCCTACACCTGTGGCATCCAAGGTTTTTTGGGAAAGAGGGAAAACTGGTGTTAATGTGTATGTCCAGCTCTTTCCCTCTGATCCAGCTTACTTTACTGATGAATTTTTCAAGCTGGTTTTCATTTGCAGCCCCTTTGATGATGAGATTGTTTGGTCACTGCCATCTTTGCCAAAAGTCAATGTAATTCCTGCATATTCATTTTTCCCCTTAAAATACCTCCCCTAGGCTCAGTTGTGTAATGCATTCCACATTTGGGGCCGTGTGTTTGTTTTTTAGGATACACTCTGATGCACCCCTCCCTGACCAGGCCCTACCTGCTGTCTGAGCCTCCTCTCCACACAGACATCATCCACTACGAGAACATCCCCAAATTCGAGCTGGTGCGCCAGAACATCCTCAGGTAATCAACTCCCAAATGAGCAACACTGGGAGGAATTCTAGAGGAATTTTAAGATTATACAAGGTAAAATTCCTTTTCCTACGATATCTGGATACTTGGATGGATTTTTTCCCCATTAACAATTCTGGTTTGATTTTTTTCTCCTGTTTTTTTTTCAATTGTCATTTTTTATATAGTGTTTTTCAGCTGATCTGGGGAGTGTTCCTTCTAATCTCTCTCTGCCCTGTCAGGAAGATTTCCCACTCTTTGGTCTGGGTTTTTCTTTATCCTTTGCCTATTCTGAGAATTTTTAAGCTCAAAATGTGAGGGTACATAAGTGCATTTGAAGCACGCACACGCTCTCCTTCACCAAGCACAAATAACAGTTAATTCCTTCAATTCTTATGATAATTATATAAACACACAATGGGAGGATTTTGCTGAAGTCCTAATTTTGCTCAGTGTTTAATAAACTGCTGGATGCTTTATCTGCCACTGCAGCATTCCCTTGGGCAGCCAGATCATCACAGTTCCTGTGAACTCCTCGCTGTCCTGGCACGTCAACAAGCTGAGGGAAATTGGGAAAGAAGCCTACAATGTCAGCTATGCCTGGAAAATGGTGAGGACAACAAGTGTGGGGTGGCACAGGGGGAATTCATGGCTCTGCTGCTGTCCCTCCTTCAGTCTGGGAATATCTGATCACTAATCTCAACCCAGGGGTTAAAATGGAATCTGAGGTTAAACATAATCCAAGTGAATTCATTCCCAAGTGAACTGTGATGCCAGCAAGAATTGGTTGCTTTGTGCCAACAAACTCAAGAAGGTACTTGTAGGTAATTTCACAGTATTAAGTTAAATCCAACCTAAAGGATTAAGATGAGCAGTTTTAAGAGATTAAATCTGTCATTGTTTAACAGAAATTCACACAGGAAGGTGTCTGGAGTTGATTTTCTAAGATTGTAACACTGCATTTAATACCAAACTCCCTTTGCAGAGCAGCTGGGACACTCCAAGATTTGCTGGTCTGGTGTAATTTAGAGTCCTTAAAATACCCAAACCAGTAAAACATGTGGCATATGCAACACATAATTAAGAGTGGAAATAATAAAATCTTGCAGTTGAGAGTTAATTTGTCTGTACTTTCCATAAAGATAACACCAGTTTGTGTCCAGTAACTGGAAACCTACAGCCTCTCCTCTGTTAATGACAAAAAATATCCATGAAATACTGTTAGAATTAGAAATTATTGCTAACTGAGCAACAAAATGAAAGTCTTGTTTGGTTTTCAGAAAAAAAAAATTAACAGTATTTTTATTTTCTGTGTTAACTGTGGCAAAGTGGTTTTTGTAGAACTCAGTGGCTCCAACACACACGGAAATTCTGTTCATCCCTCACATTTTGGCTCTGTTTGGTGTTTTGCAGGTGCAGGACACATCCTTCATCCTGTGTGTGGTGGTGATCCAGCCAGAAATTCCCGTGAAGCAGCTGAAGAACCTCAACACGGTGCCCAGCAGCAAGCTGCTGTACCACAGGCTGGACCTGCTGGGCCAGCCCAATGCCTGCCTGCACTTCAAGCAGCTGGCCACCCTGGGTGAGGACCTGTGCCAGCCTGGCCTGGCCACCCCGGGGGCTCAGGAGCACCCAGCTGGGAAAATCCTCTGGGATCCAGTCCCAGCTGTGCCCAACCCCCAGAGCACTGAGTGCCACCTCCAGGGATGGGCACTCCCACCCTCCCTGGGCAGTTCAATGCCTGGCCACCCTTCCCATGGGGAAATTCCTGCTGGTGTCCAGCCTGAGCCTCTCCTGGCACTGTCACACCTCCTGTGTGTTTCTGTAGAGTGTGGCAGCTCAAAGTAAAGCTCTTCTCACAAAACATGGGAGATACTCTTCCCTTGATAAGCTTTTATTTCCAAGGCTGATTTTTGGGTCAGTTTTTACCTTCTCACAGCTCTCCTTGGTCACAGTGACCTGCTCAGTGCTGGGCTCTTCCAGAGTCACAGCAGAGCCTGAGCTGGATCCCACAGGGATCCTCCAGCCCAGCTCTGGAGGGAAGGGCTCACCTAGGGACTGAATCCATAATTTTGTTACCATCAGCACCTGGTTTTAACCAACAAATTCACTTCTTGCAGGATGAATGAGTGGGGCTGCTGGGCAGAGTAGGAGATGAATGCCCTGGGAGTCAGTGCAGTGGGAGCTGTGGAGGTGGAGGTGTTTCTCCACTGTCCTCTCCTGGCTCTAAAGCACCTCCCTGAGCAGCAGCAGAGCAGGATGAAGTCCCAGCCAGTTGAGCAGGACCCTGCTGCTCTTTTGGATTCATGGCAGTTTTTCACTGCCAGAGGCTTTGAATACCTTCAGAGGGAGAAGTTAAACCTGTTGGGGAGAAGGAAAACTTCAGTGCTCTGATGGTTTCCTCACCTGCTTCAAAACTCTCAGGTTTTGATAGGCTGAAGTGGTTCTGCTCTTCCTGACTGATTTCAAACATTGCTGGGAAAAAGGGAGAATCTCCAAGGCAGCTCCGGTGTCTGGGAAGGATGGAGGACTTAAAACCCAGAAATACCCCAAGAAAAGAGGGGTTTTACATAAACATCCTACACTGCAAGCTGTCATATTTAGGTATAATCTTGGGAGGTCCCCAAAATCTGTACTATAAGAAGTTCTGAATTAAATACTTCTGCTTGTAGCAGGCTTTGATGGTCTCATGGTGGATTAGTGGCACAGTTGTGAGATTTTTCTCAGCTCTTTGGAGCCCTGCAAAATAACTCAGTGAGATCAGACTGGAGGAGGGACCTGACAAACCTGTGGAAATTGCTTTGCCAGTTGTTTCAAACACAGAGATTTCTTGGTTTTTGTTCAATGTGGTGCCTAATCTTGATTATCTTATATCCAGAAAGATAAAAATGGAGAATATCCCAAAAATGCAGTACTAAGCCGTCAAGTGGAAAAACTTCATGCAAAGCAAAATCAGAATATTTGCTCTGGGAAGCAGATGAAGGGCTGGAGTAGAAGTTTGGAAGTGGGGACTGCAGCACATGTGGGGATGTGTTTGAGAGGAATGTGACTAAAAGCAGAACACTTCACATACTGCACTGCGGTTTTTCCTCTGGAGACCATTCCACACAGGGAATTTGGGTTGCATGGGTCACATCCTCAGAAAAGACCTTCTCAACCCTCAGCTGTGCATCATCATAATCATTTCTCTTTTTTAAAAAGGAAAAGCTGTCTGGTTTTGCAGATTTTGCATGATGAAAGTTTACTTTTGAGTTTGTTCTGAAAACGACTCCAGACAGCTGCACTTTTATTGGGGAGCTCCTCTTCTGCACTTGGGATTCTCCAGATGTTCATTCTCTGGAACTGAAAATGCTCATTTTCATTTTCCTCTAGGATATCTAACCTAAACAGAGACACTTAATTTCTTTTTTAGCCCATCATCTTTCCTTAAGAGAAAACAGCTTCTGTAATCTCACAGAAAGCAGTAATTCAGAAATTATTGAGGTTTTGGGAATAAGGGCATTAAGTACCAAATGACATACAGAGATCAGAGGAGAGGGCTGATGCTGTGACTTCTGTGTTTGAGGCAAGAAGGGGAGGAATTCATGTTCAGCCTGAGTTTAGGATGAAACTCTGCTGGGAATTGCTCTGGGTTGATTGGAAAAATTGATGTTTCCTGCCCTCCCTCCCAGTCCAGAGCATCCTGTGGGAGCTGGGTGTTGTAGTTGAAAGGGAGACAATACAAATACACTCAATTTTCAGAAGGCTTCAAACTGATTTTACTCTAGCATGCACGCTTTTTATACATTCTTACAAAACTCAGAAGTTTGCACTTTACTCATTGGTCACAAGACAAACAAAGTGCTCATTGGAAAGGGCAGTGCAGGTTTCTCTTATTTATCCTTCTTTCTTTCTTGGTTTCTGTATCAATGACCTTGGTAGGAAATCCTTTCAGGGCTGAATATGTATCCTCATATCAAACATGGATCCTCTTATCAAACATGGATCCTCTTATCAAATATGGATCCTCTTATCAAACATGGATCCTGTTATCAAACACGGATCCTGTTATCAAACATGGATCCTGTTATCAAACACGGATCCTGTTATCAAACATGGATCCTGTTATCATACATGGATCCTCATACCAAACACGGATCCTGTTATCAAACATGGATCCTCTTATCAAACATGGATCCTCATATCAAACATGGATCCTGTTATCATACATGGATCCTCATACCAAACACGGATCCTGTTATCAAACATGGATCCTGTTATCAAACATGGATCCTCTTATCAAACATGGATCCTGTTATCAAACATGGATCCTCTTACCAAAGTTCTCCCTGGCTCGCAGAGGTCACTGTAAACCCCTCCCACAGTTGTGTGCTGAGGTGTGGGACGGCAGCAGGGTCGTTCCTGCCACAAGGACAGCCCGCCAGGGACCCTCCCATGTGCAAACACCCTCACTGTGCCATATGTGCAGCTCATTGTGTGAAGTTCCTGGTGTTTTGGTGTTTCAGAGAGCCCCACGGTGATGCTGTCTGCAGGCAGCTTCTCCTCCCCCTACGAGCACCTGAGCCAGCCCGAGACCAAGCGGATGGTGGAGCACTACACGGCCTACCTGAGCGACAACACGCGGCTCATCGCCAACCCCGGCCTCAAGGTGGGCACAGCACCCGGGGCTGCTCCTGCGATCCCAAATCCCAGCAGTTTGCCTTAGGAGGGACCTTAGAGCCCATCTCATCCCATCCCTGCCATGGCCAGCACCTTCCACTAGCCCAGGGTGCTCCTGATGCCTTGGGATTTGAGCTTTGCTATTTTTCTGTATTTGTGATTTGGCAGTTCTTCAGTGCATAACTCCAAACTCCACATTCAGTGTGAGCTGCTGCTGTCCCGTTGTGGGCAGACACAGCAATTCCTCTCCAGGCAGTCAAGGAAACAAAAGTGAGTTGGGGGAGCAAACTTGGGGTGAATGACTTCATTAGCTGAAGCTTTAATTGGGAGATCAACCCCAATATGCAAGTGGACCAAACTTATAAAAATATGAAAACCTCTGACTTGTGGTCCATTTTTTTTGGTGTAGCCCCTGGCTGGGCTTTGTCTGCCCAAGATGTACCTGAAGGCCCTGAGAAATGTAAACAAAAGTGAGTTGGGGGTGCAGAACTTGGGGTGAATGACTTCATTACCTGAAACTGTAATTGGGAGATCAACCCCAATATGCAAATGGACCAAACTTAACCCCAATATGCAAATGGACCAAAATTAACCCCAATATGCAAATGGACCAAACTTAACCCCAATATGCAAATGGACCAAACTTATAAAAGTGTGAAACCCGTGACCCATTGTCCATTTTGGGTGCAGCCCCTTGGGGAAGCTTTGTCTACCCAAAATGTACCTGAAGGCCCTTCAATAAATAGAACAACTTTTTATTCCTTTAATTTTGTCCGGCCTGTGTTTTTAGGTAAGTCCCAAAAAAGGCATCACTCCAACCTGGCCTTGGACACTTCCAGGCATTCAGGGGCAGCCACAGGTTCTCTGGACAACCTCACCCTCCCAGCCTGGAATTCCTTCCCAACAACTGATCTAAGAGTGGAGAGAGGAGGGGGGCAGAACTTTGTTGAAACAAACACTAGAAAAGTTAAAGCCACGCTAAGTTCTTAGCAGAAACACTTTGGTGTTCCTAGGCATACAAATGAGAAATCTCTATTTTCTGTGCGAGCAGCACAATATTTCTCTTTACTCCAAGTTAAAAAAAAGCCACAGAGATAACACCAGCAATATTTCCTTGTAATAATCTGCTTGGAATGTCTGGTGTGAGAAGCCTTGAACCAAGTAATTGAGCCGAGATGATCCCCGATGGCTCTCGGGGAAGCTTTTATTGTCTTGCCATGCAAGTCCTGCAGGAGCCCTGCCAGCCCTGCCTTTGTTTTGCAGTTCTCTGTCAGGAATGAAGTAATGGCAACCAGTCACGGCACGGATGAATGGATGACCCAGATGGAGATCAGTGGCCTCAACAGTTACATTGTCAGGCGTTACATAGCAACCCCCAACGGGGTGCTCCGCATCTACCCCGGCTCCCTCATGGACAAAGCATTTGATCCCACCAGGAGACAATGGTGAGTTTTTAGGGTCCCTTCAGCAAAGCTTTCCATCATCTCCGAGGGCAAGAAGGGAAATATTTAGAGTTGGTTTTGGTTTTGGGGTTGATTTCGTAGCCTGTGGGTTGGTTTTTGTGGTTGTTTTTTTTTTTTTTTTTTTTTTTTAATTTAGTTCAAAATGTTTTCAGCATGGGGAAAAAGTTCAGAGCCTAAATGCAGTTCAAACATTTACTGGTTCTAATTTCAGGCTTTTTTATTTTGTGGGGTAGTTGGTGTTTCATAGCCCAGCTATGGCAGATGGGGACATAAATATTCAGAAAATGAGCATCCCCTTCAGGGATTAGCTAATTCAGGAGTGTTTGAGCTCCTTGGGCCCTTTTTGGTTGTTCATATCTGAGCCTTTTTGTTTGTTTACTGTGGGTTTCCTCACTGCTTTCAAGGAGGGATTAATTATGCAGCAGCATCTGATTTGGGCAGAGAGCTGGGGACGTTCCAGATGGGAGCAGGCTCTGAGAGTGCTCCAAAGGCTGGGATCTGTGGGAAGGAGCCAGCCAGGTGCTGCCACACTGGGAAGGGCACAGATCCCAGCCCTGTGTCCCTGCAGTGCCCCTGGCAGCTCTCCTGGCCCGTTTTCCCTGAGATTTGTCGTGGTTTGGGAAGAAGGTGCAAATCAAACACTGGGGATAAAGCAGAAGTGGGTTAAGCTGCTCCTGGGTTGGTGCTCTGGGTAGGGGGAAGCAGAGTGGTCACTTTTTCTTACAGAAAAGTGTTGCCAAAAGTTTTATCCACTTTCCTATGACAATTTTACCAACTCTCCTATGACTGTGGCTTATTTTATGCTGATGGAAGTTTTAAGAGGTTCTGATATTTCTGAATTTTCTTGCCTCAGTTCTGTTTTTTCTCCTCAGTTTGCAGTGTAATCATTTTGCCAGGGTTGACTTTGAGACTCTGCTGGCACCAAGTCCTGCATTGTTCTGGGGGAAAATGTCTGAAATTACATGAAATGTGTTCTGTGCAGAAGTAAACTGAGCTTTTTTAATGCAGCTGGATCTACTGGGGGACCATTATTGAGCTGGTCTGGGTTAGTTTGGAGTCCTAATTGCATTTAGGTACCTGTTTGATATTAAAAACAATAATTTGGTGCCTGTTGTTCACAATGTTCAGTGTTATTTTGGGAAAGTCAAGGGTTCTGGCTTGAAGTTACTGACTTTGGCACTGATTCTGAGCATTTCTTTTGGCTTCCCTCAGGTACCTGCATGCAGTGGCCAATCCAGGACTAATCACCTTTACTGGGCCCTACCTGGACGTGGGAGGGGCTGGATATGTGGTGACCATCAGCCACACTGTCCACTCCTCCAGGTGAGGGGCCCTGGGGCAGGCAGGAGGGCTCTGAATGACCAGAGCTGGGTGACTCTGTGTGCTCAAAATCTGAAAACCAGAGCTGCTCTTAAAGTGCTGGTGGTGAAATGTCATCTGACCTTGTGGAAATGGGGCATTGAAACACCAGGAGAAGTCCATTTTATAGGAATATGGGAATTCTGTGGCTTTATTGGTAGAGGAGTAATAACAAAAAAAAAAAAAAAAGTTGGGAAAGTGCTCCTGGATGAACATGAGGTGGGATATCCAAGGAATTGGGAGGAGGAGAGGGATTGCTCTCCTCAGGCAGTTTGGGATGTGTTCCCTCTCTGCTGGAAGAGAAATCCTTCTCCATCAGGGCTGCCAAGCTCCCCATTTCCTGAAGTTCCCCACACCTCCAGTGGTGGGGTTTTAAGGAGCAGGGAGGTGTTTGGAAGGGAACTGGAGGCCACAAAGAGGGTTCAGGACAGAGCTGTCCTTACTCCAGGGATTGGGGAGCTCCTCTCCTGGGCTGCTTAAATCCAGCACTGCTGGGCTTCCAAAGCCTGTGACTCTCCAAGGGCCCTTCCAGGATTGCTGGGAACAGATTGGAGTGGGAACAGCAGGGCCAGGAGCTGGACTGGATGATCCCTGTGGGTCCCTTCCAGCTCAGGATATTCCATGATTCTATGAAATGAATTTTCCTGGAGGACCAGGCTGTTGCTGTTCCAGCTTCCTCCTGGCCAGGCCCCAGGCTGAGGCCAGGATTTGGGATGCAGGAGGTTTAAAGGAGCCCACTTTATAAAACATGGATCCAACCTTGCTGTCCCAAATTCCCAAAACAGCATTTTGGTTTTCACATGGAATCTCCTCCAAGCTCCCTACCCAACAGCCGACCAGTACCAAGGGAACTTCCAGTGCTGTACTGGGAACCAACCAGGGATCCCAAAGCCAGCAGGGATCAGGACGTGGCTCCTCCACTCTTCCAGAGATTCCCCTGCTCTGTGTGGGATTTCCCAGCACAGCACCTCTGCCTGTGTGTTCTGGCAGGAGCATTTTCAGCCCCAGACCCTGCGTGGTGCTTCTCGCTGAGGAATTTACTTTGGGGAAACACTTCTGTAAGGAGAGAAGTGCAATTAATCAAAATTCTGATTTTTATCTAGCAAGGGATGGTTTACTCAGCTCTAAGAACTTAAAGCTCCTATGGGCTATTAGAACATGATTAAAGAACACTTAAACAAAGTTTGGCAGATGTGAGTGTGATTCCTGGGTAAATATGACCTCTGAAGCTCATAGTCACATGTGGTTATAATCCTCAAAGAGGCCTGAGCTCCAAATCCAGAGGGGTGGGGAGGAATCTGTGGAGTTAACAGGAATTTTGGCATTAGGGACTGCTGGGAGGCTTTAAATACCCACATCAGGGCAGCCAGAGCTGACACCTCTCATTCCCATTTTATGTATATCTTATTCCTTTTTATGGAGGCTGGGAAGAGAAGATTTATGCCTGATGTGGTTTAATGCAGTTGGCATCAGCAAAGCAGGAGGATTTAGTGCTTAAAAATGAAGCTAAAATATTTACAACATTCTAATGGCTTTATGTCTGTTAGGACAGAGCAGAACTTCAGAGCTTGGTGCCTTGTCACACATGAAATGTGTCTGTGCTGCTTCAGTGCCATCCTTGCCTTCCTCCTCCAGGAAATGTGAACAATAAATCAAATGCAGGTTTTAAAAATCTGTATTTATCTGTCTACAAATGAGATTTGGCTGCATCTCCCCTGCACCTCTTTGAAAAGCAAACAAACCTCAGCCCAGTAAACAGAGCTGGGTTTCCGTGGAGCAGGGGTGGCCAGAGCTGTTTGTGCAGTCCAGCTGGGCCTTGCAGCATCTTCATTTCTTTTCTTTTTCTAAAGGTTTTTATTCCTGTCTCCCAGAGATTTGCTCACTGGGAGCAAACTGGGAGAACTGGGGCATGGTGGAAGGACAAAATGCAGCCTCAGGCTGCTGCACAGCACCACATCCCAGGATCCTTTTCATAACTCACCCTAGGAAATGTGATTTTCTTGCCTGCCATTCATGGTCACTCCCACACTTCGTTTTAGGGATTTAGCTCAAAGTCTGGCACCTTCACATTCATTCCTGCTGCTGGGGGCTGAGCAGAGGAGGGGTGCAGGTAACTCCTTCCAGCTGGGGGGAATTGGAAAATACAGAGGCTGCATCCTGTGTTTGTTTGTGTGGATGGGGAATTTTTAATCCTAATTTCTGGCACTTGGGATTAAATATCTGTAGGTGGTGGGGGTGTGTGTAGGGAGGGATCCACTCCTGGGCTGTTTCCTGTGCTGGCTCTACAAAGGGTGACTAAAGTAGGAATTATTATTATTATTATTATTATTATTATTATTATTATTATTATTATTATTATTATTATTATTATTAATATTATTACCCTGAGTTAAAATATTTTTTATTATTCATAATATTTATAATTTTTCCCTTTCCCCCTCACTGCAGTGCTCAGATGTCCTCAGGACACTCCGTGGCCGTGATGGGCATCGACTTCACCCTCAGATATTTCTACAAAGTCCTCATGGACCTGCTGCCAGTTTGTAACCAAGATGGGGGGAACAAAATCAGGTAAAAATAAATAAAATACTTATTTTCTTGAACCAGATGACCCAGAGGTCGTTTCCAACTTCATTTCTCCAAGGATTCTGTTACTTTCAGTGTGTGTTCTCTGATTTCCAGTAGAACCTGTGCTTGTCCTTCTCATATGGATGTTTTTGTTACTCCAGGTCAAACTGCCATCAGTAAATAAACAATCTGCAGGATTACAAAAGCAGAAGATAACAGATTTGATTTGATTTTTTTTGGTTATATTTAGATTTCTTTGAAATTCTGGGTAAAAAAACATTCCTTATTAAATGAACACACTTCCCAGTTCTCCTGTTTGTTTTAATTTAACCTATTTAGTTCCTGTGAACGTGTAAGAATGATACAGGATTTCAGTTATTTTAACTCCTAATTATTCAAATACACTTTTGGGATGGTTTTCTCAGAAATCCATAGCACTGCCTAGACCAGAAGAAGTCTGATTGCATCTGGAGTATCCAATTTCAGTCAGACAGACCCCTGGGTATCTTAATTGTTCCTTTTTTGAAAAATCTTGTGGGGGTGGGAAAAATTCTGGTTTGAATCTGGTGTAACTTGATAATGTGGTTTGGGCATTGCTGTTGGTTCCATGTTTGTTTTTAAACCTTAAATTTGGGAAGGGAAGTGGTTTTCTGTCGTCCTCCCAGTTCTTTCTGGTTTGGGTATTTTTCTATATATTTTATGGCATATAAAAAAAAACAAATCAGGATTTCTGGTTTGGCATTACTCCCTCCCAGTAAAAAACTGCTGCTGATCAGCACGGTCAGATGCTTTATTCTGTTCCTGCATTCCCCAAATGAGGATATTTTTTTTTTTGAGGATATTTTTCAAACCATTCTGATGTAGAAATTGGATCCAGTGTTTCCAGTCTTGACATAAATGCAGGTGTTTGGGTTTTTGTAGTATATCTCTCCTAAGGATTTTCTGTCAGGAAAAAGAGTAAACATCACATCCCCACTTCTATTTCTAATGGAAACCCCCCCAAAAATCCAAGTTTTCGTGCCTCCTTTGTACCCCTAAAGAGCACAGAGCTTCCCCTGCTTTCTGCTGTGGGTACCCGACACATCCCATGAGAATCCCACAGAAAGCTGCTCCAGCCCCGGATCCAGCTGGATTCCTGCTGTGCCAGGGCTGTGGCTGCCACCCTGCTGAGCTTTTGGGAACATCAAGTGGGCTTTTAACGTCCCCCTGTCGTCCCCCTGTCCCCTCCCTGGCCACCGAGTCCCTGATGTCGGTGCCACCCTGTTCCCCGGCGCTGCCGTCTGTGGCCATGGAAACGGGAGAGGGGGAAAGGGAAAATGGGGAAAAGGGATGGATTGAACTCCCTGGATTCTGGACCGGGACACGGCTCCAATGTGGGAAGAGCTGAAAAGGGAGAGGAAAGCTTGGGAGGGCTGGGAGTGATTTATCCCCCGCTCAAAATGAATTCTGAAGGGGGAGGGCATTAAAGGAGAGTGTGAAATCTCTCTTTAATTAATCACATAGTAAATTAATAAACCATTAAAGCTTTCCAAGTTCATTAGGCTCTGTTCATTTCTGGCTCTCCCCCAATCGGACAATGCACTGATGGCTTCTCCTTTCTGGTTTTAATCAGCTCTGTTTTCAACTCCTTGATGGCTCTGGCTCTCTGGAGCAGTAGCAGATGGAAAAGCTTTGGGGAAATACCCAACACATTCTTTAAGAACATTTTGCAGGGAATTCGTTTCGTGGCCCTGTTGAATGGAAACCTTTAAAAGCCCTTTAAGACCATGTTTTATTTCACCCCATTGCCCTGAAGCCCAAGGAGGTCTCACAGGAGGCTCTCACTGTGTTTTGGGGCAGGTGCTTCATCATGGAGGACAGGGGGTACCTGGTGGCACATCCAACCCTCATCGACCCCAAGGGCCACGCGCCCGTGGAGCAGCAGCACATCACACACAAGGTCTGCCTGCTTTCCCTTGCCTTATTCCATATCTCTCATTCCTGTCTGCCTCTGATTCCAAAGGCATCAAATCCTGCCTTTCCCCCTTAGGAACCTCTGGTAGCAAACGACATCCTGAACCACCCCAACTTTGTCAAGAAAAACCTCTGCAACAGCTTCAGCGACAGGACCGTGCAGCGCTTCTATAAATTCAACACCAGCTTAGTGGTGAGCGTGGTTTCCATCTGATTTTGCTTTTGAGTGGGCTTTGGTTGGGTTGGGTTTCTCCTGGTGGAAACACAAGTCCCTGCCAGGCTCAGCAGCTGGGGCTGGGAGCCAGCCTTCTGTGGGGATTGGCCTCTGCTCCCTTTCTCCAGACACGAACCAGGCTGCACAAACAGAGTCCCCTGACATCCAGGGGTTATGGATGTGAGCCCTGGCCAAGTGTGGCTGCTGTCTGCAGGGTCTCAGCCAGCATCGGGGGAAGAAGGGCAGTTTGTTCTTGCTGGGTGGGGATTTTCCAGCTGTAGTTGGGATGTGTTGCTTTGGATCTGAGCTGACCTCTGGCTCCAGCTCTGACCAGAGTCACATCCTCCTGTCGGGTCTCTAATAACTTATCTTTAGGTGTCCAAACAAATCCATTTACTGGTGAGCATTCCCAGGCTGTCATTTGTGAGACCGAAATCTCTGGGGTCCTGCACACTCTGTGCTCTCCATGGATTCTGTGTGAGCTTCCTCTCAAGAGGAGTCTAAACCAAGGGCTGTCATCCCTCAAAGAGCCACAGATCCACCCTGCCAAACTCCCTCCACAGTGATTCCAAAGCTGTTACACTGTGGGAGGAGATTGGAAAATATTTGCAAGTCATGTCAGAATACATTGATTTATGTCAGGTTGGCTTAAACATTTTCCCCACACTTGAAATGCCAAGTGGGAAGTGTGATGTTGGGAAGGAAATTGTGTAGGACAAAGCAGAAACTTGTAGGAAGGAATCAGGAAGGAGCCTGCAGGAGTTGGGCAGTGCTGTGGTGTCCTTTTTTAAGTCTCAGGAGGTTTCCAGCAGGTGGTGGTGGCTCGTCAGAGCTTCTGGGGAGGTCACTGAGGGCTGGCACCGTGGGGACGGGTCAGCGAGCGCTGGGAAGGAGTGAAACGTCACCTCTGCTGCCACATCTCATTTTCACAACTAAGCCAATTCCTTCCTGTCTTCAGCAAAGTCTTTTCACCCAGAAGTATCTGGGTAGCAAAACTTACCCACCTCTGCTTTGTGAGGGTGGCACTCCCTCACAAAAACTCCTGAGGGGAGCCACCACCTCTGGAAGCCGTGGCAGAATCTGTGTCCCCACAGCTCTGTAGGATCCCTGAGGAAGGGAGGAGTCTTCAGCTCCCCAAAACAACCTCTGACAGCACTGACACCTTGTTTTTGCCCAGGGTGACCTGACCAACCTGGTGCATGGCAGTCACTGCTCCAAGTACAGGCTGACGAGGATCCCGGGCACCAACGCCTTCGTGGGCATCGTCAACGAGACGTGCGACTCGCTGGCCTTCTGTGCCTGCAGCATGGTGGACAGGCTGTGCCTCAACTGCCACAGGTGACAGCGCCGCGTGGGCTGCGACACTCCTGCCCTCGGCCCTGCTTTGAGGCTCAGAAGAGCACAGGGAGTTCACCAGTTCATTCAGAGTTGCTCTGCCTGTGCTGCCTGTGAGAGGTGCAGGGTATCTCTGCCAGCTTGTCAGAGTTTAACCCAGAGGGGTTTGGGCAGGTAATGCTGAAAGAAACAGAGATTCAGTGACTCAAGAGCAGTTCCTGTGAGTGAGGTATAGAAATTTCCATGATTTTACATGGATTGGGGGGTTTTCACTGAGGGGATCCAGGAGGTTTTGCCCACACCACCATGAGGTGTTTGTGGCACTGCCAGGAAGCATCCCTACATCCAAATCTGAGGGACTCCCTGTGTTTGGTATTCCAGGAGTGCACCACCCTCAGTCCTGGTGCAGGACAGAGCAATCCCTGTTCTGAGGAAGGAGCAGAGTCACTGCACAGCCTTTTCCATGGGAACTGCTGCTCTAGAGCTGCACCACCACGGGGTTAAAATCCCAGCAGTGTCTGATGGGTTTTCCCGGTGTTTTCTGCCCTGCAGGATGGAACAGAACGAGTGTGAGTGTCCCTGTGAGTGCCCACTGGAGGTGAACGAGTGCACGGGGAACCTGACCAACGCCGAGAGCAGGTGAGAGCTGGGACGCTGCAGGAACAAATTCCCTGTTGGTCCTGCTGAGATCCACCAGGCAGAATTATCAGTACAAGGAGGCAGGTGATGTGCAGGAGGTAAAGATGATTTTAATGGACTGTGCTTTGAGTGCTCTGTTCTTTGCTGCCATGCAGGAATCCGAGCTGTGAGGTGCATCAGGAGCCCATGACTTTCACGGCCATCGATCCCAGCCTGCAGGATGCACTCCCACAGTGCATCAACACCCAGTGCAACCAGAGAACAGAGAGTGGGTAAGGTGGCCTTCCCCATCCCTTGGAATACTCTCCTGTGGAAATGATCCAATGGAAATAGCTCTGCTTTAAATGTTTCAAAGAAAAAAATATTGGGAAAAAAGAGCATGATGCCAGAATGAGGTTCTACTCCTGGCTCTGAGGGCTCATTTTTGCTCTGAACAGTCTCCAGGGACCTGAAATGGGTAAAACAGACCAAGCTCTGACCAGACTGCCCAAATCCTTTCTTCCTTCTTCCAAAGGCTGCAGAGTAAGGATGGAACTGCAGCCAGACTTCACCACACTGAGAAATGTCTTATTGGAGGAGTTACAAGTAGGATTCTCCCTTTGCTCAGGCTGAGTGGTGCAGGAAAATACCAAAGCAGACAGAGTTGGAAAAGGGATGCTGGAAATGCAGCTTCCCTGTGTAACTTCTGTGGTGGCACTTGAGCACTTCTATGGAATTTTTTCTGGCTAAAGTCATGCACTTGAGAGTTTACAGATGCTTTTGGCCTCCCTGTGTCTCGTGGCTCTAACCCAGGCTGAGCTTTGCAAAGGAGAGGTGTTAAACTGGAAAGTAACCGTGTCCTGCTTGGGTGTTGCCATGCAGGGATTGCTTTGGAGTGCTGGACTGCGAGTGGTGCATGGTGGACAGTGATGGGAAGACCCACCTGGACAAGTCGTACTGTGCCCCTCAGAAGGAATGCTTTGGTGGCATCGTGGGAGCCAAGAGTCCCTATGTGGATGACCTGGGAGCAATAGGTAACTCTGCCTTCCTGAGCTGGTGCTGCCTTCAGCTCTTTGTGTTCCAGAGCATGCAGCAGGTTCTGCACAGAACATTTACCTCTTACCCTGGTGTTAAATCAGCATAAAGAGTGCACCAGGCAGCAAAGACGTGGTGAATATCACCTTTTGGAAAATCCTGATGTGGAGCAGAGTGTAACTGTGCATTCCTGTCTTGCAAGATGCGCTCTCCCTGAGTTCCTCCTCCTATTCCAAGTGAGCACAGTCAGGCACCCAGAAATCCTTGCAGAGTTTCTCCATGTTCCATATTGTTGATTTAACCCTTCCTGCACCTCTCTGAG